CCCTCGTGTTTGGCGGCCGGCCGCCACGGGCTGACGCCCTTTCTCGCGCGAGAACGCCGCCGGCCCTCTTCCGGGGAGGGAACGGCGCAGGATAATCTTCCGGGTAGCTGGCCGGATCCTGAAATAATCTATGGAAACCAACCCGGCAAGGAAAAAAGCCCCCTAACTAATTGCTTCAATGTTTTCTTTTCATTTAATATAGAATTCTGTGGACCACTAGCATGGCCCTTTGTCCTACTAAGGATTTAAAATATTATTACTTGCGAAGTGGCGGACTTTTGGGTCCTCCAACCACAAGACCCCGCCGCTCCCCTTCGCAAGTTCCGCCCCTTCGCCAAGTCCTGAAGTGTAAACACACGACCGCGTGACATGCCGTCTGCGGGGTATTCCGCAGACCGTACGTAGGCAAAAGTTGTCTTTATTCCGCGAGAGCCAAAAACTCATATATCCGTTGCAGCTCCCACGTCAACGCGTGCGGTTCCGGGCCGCCTTTGTTCGCCGCTCCTTGCAGCGAAGTATTGTCTACCCAAACGTCCATGGTGGATGGCAAGATGGCGGAAAAGACCGATAAGGCCAGGCGTACCGCGAGCGCCTCGGCCTGCATGATAAGAAAAGGTTTCCTTCTCCCATTCCCTTCCGGCAATTTTAACGTCGCCGGAGCTGGAATGAAAACGGCTCTCCATCCATGGAGCGATGCATCCGTGATGATGGCGGCCGACGCCTTTTCCGTGGGCTTGATGATTCACCCACAATTATTCTCGATGATGTGTCGCAATCTCTCGCCCAAACCAGCCGCTGACGGCGGAACGTTCTTCGGGGATGTCTCCAGCACAATCCCCGGTTAAGTGCGGACAATCGTCGTCGCACTGCCTTGATGAAAATAGTGGTGGTCGCATAAACGCGTGCCCAAAATGGCCGCCGCATATAAAAAGCGTGACGCCACAACCTCCATTTCCGCGATGGTTAAAGAATTCAGCGCTGGCATGGCGCGCACAGAGCGGACAAACTTGTCACTCAGGGATACCGTCTGGAGTGTGATCAAACTGCACCACACAGAAAGGTGTAATGCGTAGCGCCCGATTCGCGATCCTCCCTATCGTGGCGTGACAACTGTCCGCATTACGAAGCACTTGGGCTTCCCACAATGTCGCATCGCTTTTCGACCCTGCAATGCGTATATTACCGATCCAAACGTCGACACGCACCAATGGAGGTGCGGCCCAGAGGCGGTGAACCACCGTCGTCACCCCGCAATTGCCGAAGCAATGGTCTGGAGAATTTCTGGGTTGACCTTGTATCCCATAGGGAGCCGTGTAAGCTCCACCAGCGTGCCGTCCTCCACGCGGCATCGAAAGTGATGCCGAGTCTCCCGCGGTAAAGAAACATGAGAAAAGGATGCCTTTACATCCAGGCAGAAAGTGGCCTCAGCCATCACAGGTGGCAGAGAATGGGAAATGTGTAAAAGAGGAACATTGGCCTCATAAGGGTCGTCTCTGTTCTTGTCGCGTGGCCACGCGATCCATCGTCGTTGTAAAACGGTGGTTTTCTCCTCCACAGCCGAAAAAGGCATTATCCATCCGCCTGTTATTGTGGACAAAGCGTCCTCGATTATTCCCGCATTTCGTAACAAATGCGCGTCAGCGGTTGGAATTCTCCGTGAGCCTTCGCGCGCCTTACCGGAGGAAGACGGAGGGAAAGGGGACCGCCCGACGAGTCCCCAAACTTGCATGAGTCTCTCCAAGGTCGCCGGGCTCAACCGGCTCTGGATCCGCTCCAGGTTCAATACGGGCACATTAACTTGTTGTAGCGGGATGGTTCGTTCCTCTTGTGGAGTGGCCAGGCGCGTCCTTGGCGCGCGTCTTGTTATTGTAGCAGCATGATGATTAAAATCATGGAAAAACGCTCCCCCGCTTTCAGCCACGGTTCCTGCCCATCCGCCGTTTCCCCCTTCACATCAATGCGGCCAGCGACGACACCTGGGTCAGCATTGTGGTGTAACTCCCCAAATATCGAACTGTGTTCTGGGGAAGGTCGAACGGGTCGACGTGCTTCGCCAACTGCGAGATCACGTGTGGATTCAAATTGTACGCCTCCACGATTGGAGCAGCGTGCCTCAGCGCACCGCGTTTTATGGAATGCGCCGTGGCATTCCAAGGAGCCAGAGCTCGCCCCACGTGGGCAGTCGCAAGATTCGTGAGCTTTTCGTTTTCTTGAAGTGTTCTGCATAGCTTTATAGTGCCTAACGCGCCCTGCCCTCGTATCCTCACGAACCGCGAGGCGCGGTGGGGATCCGCCCTCGCCGTCTTCGGCGCCACGGACCAATCCAAAATTAAGGTCCCGTCCGCCTCCATTGTGAAATTTTTGGCTGTCAAGGCCGCAATCTCGGACCAACGACTCGCCGTTATCCACGCAAGTCGAAAAACAACACGTTCCCTCCAATCGGTCCGGCCGCGGATAACTTGATTCATCCCTTCCTCTGTCAAGGGGCGCGCCTGCTTCGTCTCCGAGCGCGCCCCAATCTTTTGCAACCCCAGAATCATCATGCCCAGCGGGGTTCGATTCATTTCCGACATGGACCGCAGCATCCTGGCGTACTGCCGTCGGGTCGATGGCGCCACGTCGATTGCCATCAAAAAGGCCGCACAGCTCTCCTCGTTCATCGGCAGTTCGTGCGTGCGGCAAAAGGTTGTGAATTGCCCCGCTAGGGAAATTCACCGCTCCCACTTTGACGGCGCCCACATTTATCGAGCCACCTCGTTCGCTCTCCCCATATAATTGGCCCAAAGCGGGGATGTCGGTGTTTCGTCGTACCACAGTCGAGCGTCGTTTACGGATAAGCTCCATTGCCCTTCTTAACGATTGCGTCGGGCGATTTGAAAGATCGGGTGGAGCTCCGGCGGCACGGTGCGACGTCTTTGCGTAATAGCCGGGGGTGGTGGAATGGATGGGTGCTGTCAAACTGCACGCCGAGCGACTACTTGTGAAACCCACTGTTGGGACGATAACTGTACCTAGGGCTATGAATGAACCGTGCAACCAATTTACGATTTCTACTGAATTTAGGAAAAACGGTGTGCTGAACGTCGACTATATCATCTACGCCGCTGCTAGGCCATCAGGTACTAAAAGCGGGGCTGTGTGGGCGGTCACATGTAGCACATGGGGTGATTTTCGTCCCTCTATTGGCGCCATGAACTTTGATCCGAAGTACATGACTGACACGGCGTGGAGCGTTCGCGTTGCCGCACACGAAATTGCGCATGCTCTTGGGTTCAGTAAAGAGAGTCTAGGAGAAAATAGCATCAAAATTTCAGAGCACATTGTGCGTGGGACGCAC